TTAAAACAGAAATCTTATTTATGACAGCAGCTGAGAGACTGTTCACCCTTTGCGCGGAGTCAACGCAGCGAGAACCCCCAGAATATTTGAATTCCTAAAGTGATTCACAACTCTACCTTTCTCTCTCTCTCTTTCTCACTCATTAACTGCTGCTGCTGCATTTTAATAACTCTTACTAAATATGTTCCCACGCCCCAGCACAGCCAAGCTCGATCGTCAACCTTGCCAGCTGCTCCAGAAAGTGCAAGGCACCTAAAAAGAAATCAGAGAGAAGAAAAGTCAAGACAAGTCAAGTCAAGTCAATGCACGCATTTTGTATGAATCGCGCGGTCGTTCGCCGATCATTAATTTGAATTAAATTAATGCAGTGCGAATGGCATTATTGCATAATCGCAGGCGGCGCTGCAACAAATCGTTGGCACGTTTACGTTTGGATCACATGTTTCCCAAAAAAAAAATAATAATAATAATAATAATTCAATGAACCAGCCCGAGCCAGACGCATTGGTGGGCGGCCGTGCACGCCCATTTTACAAGGCGCCGCATTCAAAATATGCGCGACCTCAGCTGCGTTTTTTGAACCCAACAACTGGCTAAATATTTTGTCGAAAATTGAATTTTATTGCACGATACGTTGAACTTGCGTCTGTTTCGTATAAAAAAAAATAAAAAAAAACTAAATAAATAAAATAAACCTGTACGAACATTTCCGCATTGGCGCTGCGAGCAGAGAGTGAGCGAACGAACGCACGAATGAGGGAGCGAGCGAGCAAGTGAGAATTAAACCGAGCGCGAGAACAGCTTGCACACGACTCTCGCGCGCTCACTCGCTCTCTAGGCTGCACGCGCTAAACTTTTATTTATTGATTTAGATTGGTGCGAGCGGGAGAGCACGAGAGATACGAAGCGACGACGAACGAAAAATTTCAATGTCAAATTTTAATTTAGTTGCGTTTTTTGACTCAGAACATTACCAATATGGCAGGCGCACCTCTCGCTCTCGCTCGCTCTCTTCTGTCTACACACATGTGTGTGTGTGTGTGTGTGTGTGAGTGTTCGTGTCGTGTGTGTGTTCTTTTCTATTATAGCACTATGTGTGAGTGTGTGTTTGTGTGTATTTCATATCAAGCGAGCCGAAAATTTTGGTTGAGCTGTCGGAATTAATTTGTTTGTATGCCTCAATACATATACAACTATTATGCAAAAGTGTGCGTGTGTGTGTGTGTGAGTGTTGGGGGCTGCCATTTGTTTGTTTGTTGTTCTTTCTAGCTGATAGTGCTGCTCGCTCCGCACACCATCCCCGCCCCCTTGCTCCACAGGCTGTGTTCGTGTGAAGTGAATGAAACTTTCAAGGTCGCCTCTTTGTGTGTTTGTGTGCGTGTGCAGTGTGCGTATTAGATAATAGTCATGAATTCTTCTGCCATATCGGCTATAGATTCTCATATCTATTATACAGCCAAAAAATGTCCTTGGACAAAAGATTTGCGTATCTATCCAACAATCTATCTATGTATGTCGTATCTTTCACTTGAGAATGTGCGGTGAACTGGTTAATCAGCTTCTATTTCTTGTTAAGCTTAATTGTTATTAGTAATTAAAAACAAAACATATCTAATTTAAACAATTTTTCTATATGTATAAAAAACTGGACTAGTCGTTTCTTAAATCAGGAAGCATTTTTGCGTTATAGCCATATCTAAATTTACCCTATATATTTATGAGTATGTGTGTGTGTACATCCGCCAAATTTGTTCTTATCAGCTTAGATTTAAAAACAACAGAGGTTTTGTTTTCTACAAATTTCTAATTTTTAATTGCGAATTTAAGCTAATTTTAAAACATAGTATAATTGAAATGGCTTATATTTAAATGGGAATATACCTTCTACTGTATGTATAATTAAATGTACATATGTAAATAATCTATGGTTTCAGTTTATTATAGAGTACCTTATAGTCAGCTTATATTTATTTATTTATTTTTTTTGTATGTATATACATATAATTTCCATGTGGCACATATTTAAAAATATATATAACGGAATGTGGGCGCAGTAATAATAACACCTACGCCTTGCCTCTCCCCTACAATTTGTCTGTCTGTCTGACTGCCCCTACATACCCAAGAGATACACTAAAGGGATTCTGTACGACTGACGTCATGAGAGAATGTTATATTGGCTTAAATACTCACACCCATACACACATACATACATATGATTTGTTTTGGAAACTTGCTTTGTAATCCATTCACGAGCGTGTTCCTATAAACAAAGCAACAAGGTCAGCGATGTCGCACTCCCCACCCCACGCGACACTCGCTTATATCATCTAAAACAATTCAATTTGTTAATCGACGACACGTGTAAAGTGTAATATTAAAAAAATAGAAAGAGAAAGAGATAGAGACAGAAGAGAAAGACTAAGCAGAGCTATTCGTGCGAACTGGCGCTTATCAATAGATAGGCAAAAAAAAAAAAAAAATTAAAGGGCAGGCAATGCGTCACATAACATGTGTATGTGTGTGTAAATATGCAGGTATATTCTATATAAACATTGATAAGAAATCTGCATGCATTTATCTATATAATACCACAGCATTATGGGTTTGATCAATGCAATTCGAGTTTTAGTTTGAATTAAAGAGAACTAAAGATTTCACACGCACACAGGCAATGAGAGAGAAAGAGAGAGAGAGGCAGAGACAGTGGGTAGATGCATAGGCAGCGACAGACGCAACGGCAACGACAGTGGCAAAGCAAGATTTGTTGTTGCTGCAGCAAAAGTGCAACGATCTGCAGTGCAAAATGTCAGTGAACTTGTCGAGACAACAACAATAACAACAACAACAGCAACATCAACAACTACCAAATGCAGACATCGAAGCGTGTCTGGCACACAGAGACGACAACAACAAATACAGCAGCAACAGCGCCTCTTTCATGATCATGACCACATAGTAGATAATGACGTTTGCGCTTGCTAATGATGAGCAGCATATGTATGTATGTACGTCTGTGTATGGGCAGCATATTTGAGCATGCATGCAAGCCGATGGCAGTTTGCAATTGTTTTTGTGCACGAGTGTAGACAATGCGTGTAGCGCCAGCTCGCTCTAGCACGCAAGCTCTATGCCAGCGGGCAATGGCAAATGAGCGAGCAGAGCAAGCAAAGAAGCAGAGGAACAGCGCAGCAGAAGAGCAAAGAGCGTAGCAAAGCAAGGCAGAGCGTAAGACTTTCTTGTGTATGAAAACCAGTTTTTGTTTTGTGTGTGTGTGTGTGTTGTGTGTGTGTGCGCTGCTGAAGAAAGTCTTTCGCCTGTGTGGTTGTCGCTCTGGCTCTCTTGTTTTGTTATCTTGGCGCAAGATTCTTGTTCTGCTTTGTTTACTTTCTTCGTTCGCCTGCTTTCTTTGGCCGCTTGCGGTGAAAGTTACGTAACACTTGCTGCCTGCAATTGTCTTCACGTGTTATACACTCCCCTCGCTCTCTCGCTCTGTCTCTGTCTTTCGCTCGTTGTCTTTCGCTCGCTTGTGCTGCTTGGCCAGAACAAGCTCAAGTTCAACCAGTTGCCCATTCTGTTTTGCTGCTTTCTTCGTTGACATTGGCATTGGCCAGGCGAGTGAGCGAGCGAGCGAGCGAGTGGCTCTTCGTGTGCAAAGAAAGTATTACGTCTGTATTTACTTTCTTCGGCATTGGCCTCGACTGCTGCGGAGAGTAAAAGTTTAACTGAGACGTGCTCAATTATCAAGATTTACAGAGATTATCTTAAGAGTTAAATTCGAAATGAATGCTACTAATTTTGTTTTGTTTTTTTAATTAATTAAATATGCGCTCAAAAGTTATATTATGCATAAATTTTAGATTATGTTGCACTTGAAATATTTTTATACATTTTAAATGAATTTTATATCTATTTACTGCATTTTCATGGATTTTCATATTAATCGATTTTCTCCTTTGTTCTCCCTTTGCAGAATTCGATGGCACCACTGTGCTGTGTCGCGTCTGCGGAGATAAGGCCAGCGGCTTTCACTATGGCGTGCATTCCTGCGAGGGCTGCAAGGTAAGTTTGACTCCCACTACATATACATACATACATATGTAAGCATTTGAGGGGGTGTCTGCTGTGGCAGCAACCACCGGGACACCGTCTGCGCTGACATTGAACTCAGTTGACCTCTCGCTGGCAAGGGTAAAGGGCCCGTGCCGTCGGAGGGTTGTTGCTGTGCAACAGGAACAGGAACAACTTCATCCATAGATTGGCAATTGCGTGGCAGACATGAAAACCTGCGTTGCTCCTGTTTGTCCTTGCATAAATTGCGTCGCAATAAAATAAATCACAAGTATCCTGAACCCTGCAAACACCACCAACGAGCAGCAACAAGAAGTGGCAGCAGCAGCCGCCGCCGTAGCCAAGCACCACCGTGTTTAGCCCTTTTGTCTGTGACATTGAAAATTGCCGCAAGTTCATTCGCCCGCCGCTGCCCAAGCCCAATGCTGATCGTGCTCCCCTCTCCCTCTCTGTCTCCCTCTGTCACTCTGCCGCTCTGTCTTTCCCTCCCTCCCACTGCAGTGGACCCGAGCTTAATCAGCCGCTCGCTCTTGCAGTTGCTCTCCCTCGCTCTTCCTCTCTCCCCTCTCTCTCTCTCTCTCTCTCGCTCACTCCACAACCTTGGCAAAGTAGTTTGCCCTATTCCCTTATATTCGCCGCGCTGCCGCCAAAGTCGGGAATAATGTCTCAATGACGTCCTTGAATTAGGTTAACAGCCAGTTTCCAGTTCCAGTTTGCTCTCTCGCTCTCTCACTCGCTCTCGCTCTTGCTCTCTCGTCTGCGATCCTTTGTCGTCGTTGTTGTTGTTGTTGTAGTTATTTTTATTTGTTTAGCATTGGTTTCTTTCTTGCGGGCTGCCGAGACGTCTGAGCGTCTGAAATTTCAAACTTTCCAAGACTTTGGCCCGCTGCTTTTTGCGAATATTCTTTTACGCTTTTTTTGCGCTCGCCTTTTCTTTTTTTTGCGTATATATTTTGTTTTTATATAATTTTGGCAAGTTCATTGACTTTGCTCTTGACCAATCGTCGTCCAGTCTTGAGCTTTGGGTTTCTTGGAACGTTTTTTTTTTCTTTTTGCTGTGGATTGGTGAGTTTTTTATATCATACATATATGCATACATACATATATGTATAATATACATACATGTATGTATATATTTTTGCGCCTATATAACTCGCTCTCTTTATGTATAATGATATTAAGTAGCTCGCGTCGCTTTTATCAATGTTCCAGTCACACACATGCGCTAATTTAAATACATACATACACACACACACACATGCATACATGCGTATGTATGTTTTGCTCGTCTGGCAGGTAGGCCTATTAACAAGCTGCTCGTACGTGCTTTTTTGAAGTTCAAGGTTATGCTAAAGGCACAGGGTCCCAGCAGCAGCTACGCTGGCTCTAGCTGGCTCGAAAACCTGTCCTGCCCTTCTTTGCACACGCACGAACGCAGTATGTCTCCTTCTCTCTCTCTCTCGCTCTCTCGCACTCGCTTTAAATAGTCTCTAGAAGTAGGAAGCAAGTTTTAGAGGTTTTTTGCCATTTTCGTATTGCTCATACGACGCGTTAAATGCTGTCATCATTATTGCTGCTGTTGTTGTTGTTATTGTTTTTGTTGTTGTTGCTGATGTTCGTCATGTAGCTGATACTTCCGCCCAGGCCAGATCTGACTCGCTTGGCTTTGCTTGAGCACCTGGCCAGAACCAGCCTTCAATGTGTCTATTGACCTCTATTTTATTTAGTATAAATATACATACATACATACATATGTATGTAAATACATGGATCATATTCGAGCTGGAATTTCGTACTATTCATATGAACTAAAAGCCCACTGTCTGCCTTTTTGGGATAATCTTGGCTATAGTTTAGCAAACACTGTTATATTTCGATATCGAATTCGAATTTCGTACTGTTATTATATGCAATTAAAAGCCCACACTCTGCCAGTTAAGGTAAATTTTCTCGCTTACTTATTCGAATTCGCATTTCATAATATTCTTATAAGCTCTACTTAACACTTATTGGAGTTGTATATAATTTACATACATACATATGTACGTATGTATCTCTTTATTGTCTTCAACCTTCAACTTCTCAATTCCAGCTATCCGTCTACCTAGCTCAGCATGCCTAGCCTATTCTCCTATAAGCCTGTTTTTTTCGTCCCTCCCTACGCATGCCCTTCCGCATCTAGGTATCGCTTGGCTATTTACCATATTCTCTGTTCACTTGGCAACACCATTCTTCAACACTTTTCCACTGTGCCTAATGACCCAATTTGTGTGGTGTCGTCCAGTCCATGTTATGGGAATGGCTCATTTGCGCCGTCTTCGATAATTCCTCCAAATTTAAGCATAAAAACAAAACGTAGAAAAAATAAGCAAACGGAGGCACAAAAATAAATTAAAACCGACATACAGACACACATACACACACGTGTGTGTACATAAATAGGTAAACATGTTTGTGTGTATTTGTTGACGTTGGCGCTTTTGAGTGTGATTTCTGTTATGGCTTGCGTCCCTCTGTCCTGCTCTCTCTACCTCCCTCCCACCCTCTCACTCTTGTTGGTCAGCGTGAATGGTTTGCTTTCTTTGCTCCACTCGGCTACTCTTCGGCTGTTATACAACATGTTTTTGTTCTTTCATATTATTTAGCATATTTATTTATTGTACATTTGTTGTTATTCTTTTCCTTTCCACACACACACACACACTCACGTATACATGCATACATTTGTTGTTGCGTTTTTTGCTGTGCTTCTTTTTAGCTGCGTTGCTGTTGATGTATTTTATGCTTCGTGTAGTTCTCGTGTGTGCAGTTGTTGTGAGTGTGCGAGCGAGCGAGCGAGTAAGTAAGTAAGTGTGTGTATGCTTGTGCGTGTGCGAGCAGAGCTGACTATGAGTGTGTGTGTGGTTGTGTAAATGTGAATGAACTCGTTCAATGTCAGCTACGACGGCGAAGCAGCGTACGCAGCATGGGCCACAAGAAGCGGCAGTAGCAGCAGCAGCAGCAGCAGCAGAGGCAGAGTCAACAACAACAGCAGCAAAGAGCATAAGCCGTGAGAGGCCTCAATGTGCTGCGCTCACACTCTCGCCTGCAAATGCAGCGGCAATTGTGCTCACTCTCTGAAATAGTTTAGTTGCTTGTATTTTCGACGTGGAGTTTTCGTAAATTATTTTTGATCTACTTATGCATGTATGTATGAATGTATATATACATAGACGTGTTAAATGATTAACATTTCGTTGAGTTCCTATTCTTATCTGCCTGTTATACTCTAGGCTTTCAATACTGCTATTCTGACTGACTCATCTCTCTCTCTCTGGTAAAAGTTCCATTTAAAAATTGTTCATTACATTCCTAACCTGCATCAATAATGACGTTGCATCAATAGAGCAAGACCAAGAGAGCAAGAGCGAGAGAGAGAGAGAGAAACACAATGATAATACACTTGATAATCATTTCGAGCATAGAGAGGAAAAATTAGTGTCTGTGCAGTATGTGGAGGGTTGGCCGAAAATAAATAGAAAATACGTAAAATAAATATAGAAAGAACACACACAGAGAATCCGAATCGACAAAAACAAATAGAAATATAAACTCCAATTTCTGAGCTGAAATAATAAAAATATAGATAAGTTATTAGATATCAGTTAATCAACTTAGCTCTTATTTAATTGCAGTCATCTTGACATTTCCTTCTCAGCTGCCGTTTCACTTGCCTACAATCAGACTCTTCTATTCGAATTGGAAAATATGCTGAAAAAAATCAAAAACGGGAATAGGGCGAAGAGAGCGCACACGCTGAATGCAGCAAATGAGCGGCGCAGAGAGAGAGAGAGAGAGAGTGCACATTTGTACGTGTGTTAGTGTTGTGCTAGGACCCAAATAGAGCGGCAGACACAAATACACACACATACACACACAAGCACAGTTTGATATTTATATACATGCATATGCAATCAGAGGTTAATGCTCTGACATGCACTTGAACGACTGACTGCAGTTCCTGCTCAGCGTGCGAGTGTGTGTGGGGGTGTTGAACAACCTCTGTTATATGTACACAAATATATGTACGTATGCTTATGTTTGTGTAGAATGTTCTAGAAATGCTGCAGTATTTGGGCTTTTGATATTGTTATTTATTTCTATCAGCTGCGTTTTTCCCAGCTGATTATTTTATTTATTTATTTGTATTTAATATTAAATATTTTATTACATTTTTATCAATCATTTTTATGTTATTTGGTTTATTTGTGTTTTTAATATTTATGCAATACTGTTTCATTAGTTCATAACGTTTTCCACGTGCTCGCGCTCTCACACACACGCCTTTTGCATTTTGCCTACAAATAGTTCAATGCACTTTGCAATTTAGGTCAACAACCTTTGTCTATTTGGGTTAAGCTTAAGAAATGCAAATGAAAATAATCAATAATAAAATAAGTAATATAATCTCAAAAATGTATTTATTTTTTATAATTTAAAAGAAAAAAATTACTAAATTAATAACATATAAACGTAGAAATTATTAAAATTTAACTCGCATGCGAGTGCACTTCTGTTAAGTGTGGAGCAGCGCTGTTAATGTATGTTACGCCACCTAGCGACCGCTAGCTGCAAACGGCACAAAAGTATGCTACAAAAAAGTTAACAGCGGCTTGTTATAGCAAACAGCTTTTAAGCGTGAGCGAAGCAGAGCAGACCTAATAAAACAATTCTGTGTTACGTTATTTTGAAAATGTTAACAAAATGTTTTTAATATTTAAAAATTAAAAATAAAGTTGAAATGGGCTTCAATTTTTAATTAAAATTATTTTTTTATTAAAAATAAATTATAGCACAAAAGCTTCCGTTCCAGCGTTTCAACATTTGAGAAAAGTTGGAAGATTAAAATTTTTTTGTTACTATTTAAAATATTATTTACTTGTATTTATGTTAGGGATTTCTGGCTTACTGTTAACTTTTTAAATAAGGCAAAAAAAAAAGAGTAAAATAAAATTTGAAAATGTTTAATACTTATAATGATTTTACTTGATTTTATGTTAAGCTTTTCCATACAACATTTTTGTTGTTTGAATTGTTGTTACGCCAAGGCCAACGCTCACACACAAACACAATCACACACACACACACACAGAGCTGTAGATGAACTCTTATATTAAATTATATATATCTTTATTCAATAAGCAATTATTGTTGCTATGAAAAAACAATAACAAAATATAATTTGCCATGAAAAAAAAAATAGCATTAAATTAATATATGGGCAAACGCCCACCAGCAGCAGCAGCAAAGCTTATCTAACAATTTGATGTGTGTGTGTGTGGCAAAGAGAACGTGCAGCTGCAACAGAGCTACAACAACTACAACAACAACAGCATTGAGTACTACGAGCTACGTAACTGGGGCGAGGGCATAGTGCAATGAACTGACTGCCTGGCTTGGCCTAGCTGGCTGGCTGCAGCGGCAGTTGCAGTTGCAAGTTTATATGCTGCATGCCACACACAAACACACGTGCAGCAAAACTACGAGTGATAGTAAAACGTACACTACATACATATATTCCTATATGTATGGGTAAATATGAAACAACCCAGAGAGAGAGAGAGAGAGAGAGGTACAGAGAGTTGGGTTTGCTTTGGGGTCTGGGGTTTGTTTTGTTGGGGGTGGCAGCAGTCGAAGCCAGAGCCACTTTTGCTGACCCATTTAAGTGTCATTCGCCGCTGCCTGCTGCTGCTGCTGCACGTGGCTTTGCTTTCATTCGAGGTTACTTACCCCTTTTCAGCTGGCAATTGTGGGGCTTGGGGTTGTTTGCCTTGTGGCTTAGCCTGTTCGCTTTTTGGAGCTGTGGGTGTTTGTTTTTGCTGGCTATAAATTCAAGTATTTTCGGCTGCCGCTTGTTGACTTTATTGCTAATTAAATGCGCTGTTTGCTCTTTGCTGCTACAGGGCTATAAAAATAAAAACAACATAGAATATAATAAAAAAAAAAGAAGCTAAAAACCCAACAAGTTAGCCCGTTTCCAATTAGAATCTAATCAGCAAGGCTTGGCAGAATGTTGCGGGCACAGTTCATTGCCGCTTAACATGTGTCTAATGCCAAATGGCATATAAATTTGTTAGCTGCCGTTAGCAACATGTTGCACATGGCCTGCACTAATTATACATGTTGCCAGGCGGCAAATATTTTACAGAGCTCTGATTTTGCATGCATTTTGGCAAAAGTTCATTTCATTAACAATGCACAGCATGCTGCTAGCTTAACATTAACAGTTTTAATCGTTGCTGTTATGGAATAAAGCTCGAAATGTTGCCAAGCGCTTGACAGTTTTTATTTATTTTTTTTCTGCTTGTCATTACGTTGTTTTCTCACATTGCTTTCTCTTTCTCTGCTGCAACTTATTGCATTGCACATTTGGCGCGCAACATTCTAGAAAATACTCAACAAGAATAACAGCAACATTTTGCAACAATAACAACAAAAGCAGCTGAGAAACGTCAACGAACTCGCGCCAGCTTCGCTGCAAAATAGTTGAACGCAGTTGACGTCGCCGTTGACGTCGCTGTTGAGCAATGAAAGTACCGCAACAAAACTGCAAAAAAGCCATAGATACACATACACGCCTGCATGTATACATGTATACATGTATGCTGGAATAGAGGCAGCCAAAGTGCATTGACTTTGCTTTGCTTTCTTCGCTGCGGCAGCGACGGCGACTGCGACGGCGACTGCGGCTGGGACTACTGCTAATGTTGCAGTTGTCGTTGTTGTTGTTGTTGTTGTTGTATGTTGCTTGTTGCGGCTTGAGTTGAATGCACTCTGCATGCAAATGGCTCTTCGCATTGTACCAAATGTTGCACAGAAGCAACTAGTTGCACTCACACACACACACACACACACACACGCACATCTATAGATTGTTGTTGCATTTGTTGTGGTTGCTGCAGCTCGTAATTGCCTGATGTCATAAGTCAAAATGTTGTGTGGCATTTGTTGACAGTTTTATGCGTTTTGCCAGCTGTGAAAAGCAACAACAACAACAACAACACAAAGCAACTGCAGCAACAGCAACAACAACAATCAACAATCAACTTGGCCAGCCTCATAATTAAAAGCTAGAAAACGTTTAATGCATTATTTATGATCATGCCTCGCGTAGGCTGTGGGCGTGGCA